ATGCAGCGATCGACATCCTGTCCTCTGCCTGTGTCCCGCACAAGATGCTGGACCCCGCCCTGTCCGAGGACCCAGCACACTCATCAGGAAGCACCAGGTGGTGCGACATGCTTGAGAAATGAGAGGCCCGCGGAGACATACTCGACGGGGAAGCTCTCACCGTAACCCTCAGGTCTCCCTGACCATGAACCGAAGTAGTCCTCCGAGAACCAGAGGAGCATGGCAAGGGGGATACCCCCCGTTTAATGAGGAGGTATCTAGACCGCAACGTTGTGATGGTCATGTTCCCGCACTGAGAACATGACTCATCCATGAGCGCTGCTTCAGCGTGCTGTAAGCCCAAGCACGAGAGGCAGTGATCATGACCATCAGATGATTGGGCTCTCGGGCGAGATCCCAATTCGTCAGTCACGACTGACGTAACGCAGAACGTGACTGACTGAAAGGGAACAGTAATATTGTGAAATACTATTGCAATTTAAAATAAAAATTTTGTATTTTAATATACTTTAAAATTATAATTCTTCATTCTTCATAATTTGTATAATTATATTAAAAAAACATGACAAATCTTACTGATCCCAAACTTTCGAACAGCAGTGTGTGTGTATATATATATATATATCTATGTGTATATCTATGTGTATATCTATGTGTATATCTATATACACTGTATATATATATATATATATATATATATATATATATATATATATATATATATATATAGAGAGAGAGAGAGAGAGAGAGAGAGAGAGAGAGAGAGAGAGAGAGAGAGAGAGAGAGAGATTCACGGTTTCCACAAAAATATTCAGCAGTACAACTGCTTTCAACTTTGCTAAGAAGAAATGTTTATTGAGCATTACATAAAAAAAATATTATATATAATATTTCACAATATTAATGTATTTATAATTACCGTAAGTAAATGCAGCCTTGGTGAGCATAAGAGACTTTTTACTGAAAATCTTACTGACCCCAAACCTCTGAATGGTAATGTATGTCAAACATAAAACAGCTTGATGAATATAGACCAACATTGCAGATATATGTAAGTGAAAAAAAAAAATTGTCACCTAAAATGACATCAAAGATACATCTTGAGATACAGAATACTGGCTAGTTAGCAGGTTTTTCATTCTGGTAAATGTGAATCTACTTCATGTGGTACAGGAACTAACATGAAGTGAGAATACAGTTATATTCTATGGTTCAGGAATTGTGTTCATGTGATTATGGAAATAATTGCTCACCTTAGACCCAGCTGGTCCTTGCCATCCACTTGGTCCCTGTTGTCCTGGAAGACCAGGAGGGCCAGTGCGTCCCTGTAACACATGCAGCATAATTTTACATACATATACATTTAAAGGTACTATGAGCTTTAAAAATCAGCTCCAGATGTCCTTGCATATTGGCAGATTTCACTGAAATTGATGTCTTGGTAAAGAGTTCTTGACTTAAAAATAATTTTGCATGCTCAGATTGCTGACATGGTTTTGGCTTATAAATCTTTAGTGCAAAGGGTTTGGCTGTCTAATGCAGCGGCTCAGCACAGTTACTGCACATAATAAAATGATGACCATTTTCATTAAAACATAATTTTACTACACAAATTCATTAAGTATTGATTGATAAAATAGTCCCTTATATAACAGAACTTGCTATATTATGGATTTTAGTACAGATGGAATACTGTATTGACCAATATATTTCTATGCAGCTTTATTTTAATTAATTTTTTAGTTTTAGTAATTCTAGTACTACCACTTAAATTTATTTCAGTTATTACCAAGGCAAAATTAAGTTTTAATCAATCAATCAATCAATGTTTATTTATAGTGCACATTTAAATACAACCAAGGTTGATCAAAGTGCTGTACAATAAATGAATCACAATGAATTAAAAGGGAATAAGATATAGAAATAAAAACAAAATAAACAAGCAATAGACAATCAACAATATACAAGAGACCCAAAATAACATACTCAAGGAATGTTAAAATCCAAGGAGAAAATATATATATAAAGATATATATAAAGAATTTAAAAGTGATGGATGGAACCTGTCTAACGTGAAGAGGAAGCCAGCAGCAGCAAAAGCATGATCACCTTGATTTTTTTAAGTTTAACGCTGGAGACAGTGAGTAGGCCAAGGTCACATGATCTTAAGGTTCTTGAAGAAGTATACAGGAGCAATAAATCAGTTAAGTATTGAGGTGCCAGGTTTTGAGGACTTTGTAGACAAATAAAAGTCAATCTATGTTTGACAGGGTGCAAGTAAAGACATTCAAATAGGTGTAATGTGGTTATATTTGCGCTTCCCTTTGAGCAGTCCAGCAGCTGCGTTTTGTACCAGCTGCAGACGAGAAATGGAAGCTTGAGTAACGCCATAATACAGCGGATTACAGTAGTCAAACAGAGACGTTACAAAGGCATGTATTGCGGTTTCAAAATTGCTCATGTATAATAAGAGCTTAACTTTAGTAAGAAGTCAAAGTTGATAAAAACATGACTTGAGAGCAACAGTGATCTGTTTGTCAAACTTTAAGCTGCAGTCAAATAGGATGTCCACATTTCTGGCACACTGCATATTTTATGGGACAAGTAAGTCTAGATCAAAATAAATAAAAAAAGTTTTTCTTTTGGCCAAACATAATAATTTTGGATTTCTTTTCATTTATATTTGGAATTGCTTGAAAGCCATAGTTTAATTTATTTTAAGCATTCAACAGTGGCTGAAGAGAGTGTTTATTGTTAAGCTGTACGATAGATTTGGGTGTTGTCAGTATATAGATGAAAAGACACGCCGTATTTATCAAAAATAGAGGCTGGGGGAGCATATACAGGGAAAACAACACGGGTCCAAGAATTGATCCCTGTGGAACACCACAACCAAAAGGTTTACATTTTGGAAGATGAGTGATGCCCCAGATGAACAGTAAATCACCTATTTGACAAATAAGAGTGAAACCACTGTAATACAGTAACACCCACACAAGTCTCCAGTAGGGACGGGAGAATGTCATGGTGGACCACATCAAATGTAGCACTTAAATCTAAAAGGACTAGAGCCATGTATTTCCCTGAATCAGTCATGAGAATGATATATTGTTATAATCTTATATTTATATTTTAAGTATACTTAAATTTTTAACAAATTACTTAAATATACTTTGAATTATCGAATATTCTTTTTTAAAGTTTTAGTTAATGATAACAACATTGACACAGTAGATCAGAAATGTAATTGAGGCAGGCATGTGCCAAATGTAAAGAACACAAATGTTCTACAGAAATCGAATATTTACAATTTGATTGAGTATCAGCTAGGTGTCATGATCGGCGTTCCTTTTCCAATGCATCTAATCTGTGTAACACCTAAAGATGACTGGCTGCTCAATTGCAGGGCAGTAAGGTGAGGACAACATGTCTTCAGAGTGCTTTGAGGGACAAAACAGCCATCAGAAGAGATGGAGAGAGAGAGAGAGCGCGACAGAGAGAACAAACTAAACCAAGCCCCATCAATCTTCTGGCTTTAATTAAATTATGTGCTAAGGGCAGGAGCCAGGCATTGTGGGAGAGCAAATTATTTATTGGGCTGCCCCAGCACTAAGCTAAATTACTATGCAATGCTGCAAAGCTTCCTACACCAGCAGCACTCCACTCTCAGTGCCTGTCTGGAGTAAAACAATGCACCAGCACACCCAAAATCCTGTGCAGTGGTTTACTGGCTTCTCGGTTTACCCACAGCCCCGCTGTAGGTATTTTTGACCCTGGTCCCAAATGCCTTCCAGGAAACCACACAAGCTCACAATGTGATTGAGGGACAGGAGCAATGGGGATGATCCATTGCAGATTGAACCTAATGATGGTGACCACAAGTGTCCCCTGATGTTTTGCTCTCTGCTGCATATAACATACAAAATATCATCGTATCTGTGTCAGTGTTGGGCTTGCATTGACTTTCCTTCAGCTCACATTATGCTGCAGCTGTAAAAGTGTGTGCATCTCACATTCCTTCTTCTTCCCTTTTTTTCCCAAAGTAAATCCACTTATTGGAAAACAGAGGACAGTGAGTCTCACCTTTTGTCCAGGTCTTCCTATTTCACCCTGCAACACAGAGGAGGGGAGGAGGGAATAAGAACAGAGTCAGTTTATCAGTGTGTTACAATATACAGAGTCGTGAGAGTCATTGAATAGTTTATAAAGGAATAGTTTATAAAGTCATAATTTCTTGTCCAAGTTTACCCTTTCATTCTTCTGCAAAACACAAAAGACAACATTTTTAAGTTGAAAATTTCTTCAAAAAATCTTCTTTTGTGTTTTCTGAACCTGGTTCAGTGTTAGTGCCTATTTATTATACAGTTCTTGCAATTACTATAATAAGTACATAGTATGTACATGCTGATTAGGACTATAAAATAAACTGTAACCATAACAAGAATAATTTAAATACAATCTTATTTTGCTTCCTTAACTAACTGGACCACTTAGTCAGCCTTATTTCTCTCTTGTTCTTAATTGTTTTTATGCTGCTATTTGTGTATGTATATATTTACATAAGTATGTGTCGTACCTTATCTCCCTTTGGTCCCGGCAGTCCAGCAGGACCCTGATCATAAAACAAACATAACTCTTTAATGCTTATCCAAAACATCTGGCCAAAGCCACAGCAACCATATATATTTATTTTGACAAAGAGTGTTTACTCGAACTTATAACTGTTGTGAGCAAGTCATTGTAATGCCAAAATAATGACAAACAGGTTTACCAAATACTTCTCCTGCCTTCCATTGGTTGACACAAAAATGATAGCCCCTCCTCAAACTCATTTCACTGATTGCTGTGATTTTTGCTGTGTCAGGCGGAGTGACAAAACAATGATCAAAGCACCACAGAGCAACAGTATTTATACTTTTTGAGGAAATCAGCCTATGCACGGCTTCCCTACAGTTCCTTATGTACTACATCTTTAAAACTTATGACTGTATTGGAACAGGATGCATTTATAATGTTCTTGACTGACAACCTCAATAATATTCGCTACATAATTGATAACCTATGACAGAAATGAAACTGTATTGAGATTGGATTGAACTTGCAGGGCAAGAGTGAACTCTCTCTTGGGGTTTTGAGTGTCTGTGTGTGTCTCTCTTGGGGTTGTTTCTAAGAATGGTACGATGGAGCAGAGGCTGGCAATGGAAAATGGTCTATTTCTATCTGCTCTAAATGTGGCGCGTTAATGGCTTGCGGTGTCGTGGGGGCCAAACTGGTCACATCCGTGTCACTACAGAAAGACGTCTGGGGAACTCACACGGGTCTCACATGCTGAGAGGGTTATGAAGGCTAATTACAGTGCTGGAACTGACCATTGTGACAACCCAATACTCTGCTTCCTTGAAGCACCAACTATGCAATCCTCAACAAATTTGCATGTGACTCGCTTTTATTTATAAATGTGTTAGACAGTTTTTACTATTTGAGTTTGTCAGGGTCTGTACATGTAAAAATAGCTTATGGGTAACTGATATGACATTATTTGTTGTCTGGATCAATTCATATGTTCAGAAATAAAAATAAAAATTGCATTAATAAATCCTCTTCTATGATGGGTTAGGTTAGGTTTTAAATTTCTGAAATAAAATGAATTTTGATATAAAGTAAAAAAGGGGTTATAAAGTAAAAAATAAAATAAAATCAGGGTGATACAACTGTCCTGATATCATAATGAAGGGAAAAATCTAATTAAAAGAATTACAATTTTGAAAATAAAAGCTTAAGTAGTTTGGCCTAATTGTTTATTAGTATTTCTCAGTATGAATATTTTAACCAAACTGCTTCACTAATTTAAATATTTGAAATAGTTGATTTTTTTCTTTCTTTCACATTACAAAGTCAAGGTCATGTGGAGTGGCCAACATTTAGAAACATGCAGAAAAAATTGTTATTTGACCTTTTTATGAAATGGCAAGTTTAGGTTGCAAAATGTCATGTGGTGCAATAAAACATTAATCATAATTAATGAATTATTAATTCTAATAAAAAAAAGATCAAGATGTGTACACCCACATGTTTTTGCCACATAACATTTTAAAGCATTAAACTGAAACTGGTATAAAAGGTTTTCAAAACCATACTAATGTATTCATGTTGCTTTCATATGTTCTGAACATCAAAACAAATTTAAACAAGATTTTATTTTTTCTTTATCTAGTTTGTCAAATGTTCTTGTACACAGTCTTGGCCATTTGAACTGTGTACACAATCAAACTAGTCTCCAAACAGAACAACTACAGACCATTGTGGTACGACATTTCACTCAATATGAAAAAAGCTGATGCATGGTTTCATTTTAAAATCTTGTACATTTTTGTTCCAAAAATGTATGTTAATACACCTTAAAGTCAGCTGTTTCATAGTTGGCCATAACTACGTAGTTTTGTCCTCAACATTAAAATTTGAAGCACATACCTGAGGGCCAGGAGGTCCTGCTGGTCCTGGAGGCCCTGGGGAACACATGGGGGGTGTGGGATTGTGCTTCCCTTCTGAGTTCCATTCATTTGGTGGAACAACAGTCACAGTCTATAAGATAAGTCATAGAAAATTACATCTGGAAACACTGATGGAAATGGGAAAATGTGAAATAAGAAACAGTCCATAAATAGTTTCAGTCTTGAACAGACATGAACTTCCTTTGACTTTTATTTACATTTATTATATTTCTTTATCACCATAGAACATTGTGGTCATGGGGACAAATTAATGTACTTATTGACACCCTGAACCCTGAAGTACCTGGAACCTACACATGAAATCCAGGTGCTTGATCAGTTGTCATGAATCAGGACTCACCAGAGGGCCCTGCCGCCACAGTGAATGGGGTGGAGGGAAGAGAGGGGGCGGAGGTGGACTCAGTAAACAGCAGGGGTTGAATTTCTTTCTGGTTTCCAGCAACTGGAGATCTAGATGAGGGGAAATAAGGTTCATGAGGAACATGTCAACAGACACGTGGTCCAGCGGAACATTGTTTCACTCCACTGTCTTGGCAAAGAGGGACTGAAACACATGACTGTGTGTTTGATACTATGACACTTCTCAGGTGCAAGAAATGAGGAGTGTAATGAAAGGTCCTCCATTACTGAAACTAAAGATTTATCTGCAAATATGTAATGCTGGAGCTTTTCTTACAAATAACTTCATTTTTCTGAGGCATTTATAATGATTTCATCAGCTGGTGTCAATGGGATTTTTAGTGAATCACTTCTCAAGTTCACAGTTGCATTTAATATGAACATGAACTATTAATATCTGACAACCACTTTTTGTTGTCATACTGAACAGAATATGTATTGTTTTATCATTTGAAACCTAACGTGCTTTGAATAGTTTTGCTGTCAAAAATCTAGCTTATAAAATAAATGGTGCAATGATACTAATGAATTATGACCTCAGTGGCCTTTTTTCACTTTTTTTACACACACACACACACACGAGTATAAAAAATAGCCCATTCAGCTGACAATTATTGTGTGCAGAAGCAAAAAAGTGACCATATTTAAAATAAATTTAAATCAATCAATCAATAACGGTACATTAAAATAGAAAGTCCTGAAAGATGTTAACTTTGCAAAAACAAGCACTTGCCTAATTAAACTTTTCACTGCAGTAAAAATAGCCCATTCAGCTGACAATTATTGTGTGCAGAAGCAAAAAGTGACCATATTTAAAATAAATTTAAATCAATCAATCAACAACGGTACATTAAAATAGAAAGTCCTGAAAGATGTTAACTTTTCAAAAACAAGCACTTGCCTAATTAAACTTTTCACTGCAGTGTTGGCTGACAAAACTGAAACACAGCCATTTTGCCTTTAGAGATAATAACCAGAGACAAGTCATTGATGCCTGTAGGGACATTTATTGTAAAATTAGGGCAAAATATTGACTTGATTTTCAATACAGGCCAAATTTTACTTGAAATTCTCCCCCATAATATTCAAGCATATCTTTTAATTCTGGGATGCATTTTACTCAGAGTGCATATTATATATTTTCACACAATATATATCACAAATGTAAAGATTTCATAAAGAGCAGCGCAACGTATTTATGTTATGAATACTTTGCAATTGCATTTAATTCATATGCATGATTCATGAAAATACCAACTGAGTCTTATCAAATACATATACAGTATATATATATATATTTTTTTTTTGGTGCAAACATACTTCACTCTGTTAGAGAAAACCTCTAATATCAGCATACTAAACGTGCAGAAGACAGTGATATCTTACCTGTTGGATGAGGGAATATATTATCCACGTAAGAGAATGACGCCACATAGCAGAGGAGTTGAAAATATAGTCCAAGTGTGAACAGAATCATGCTGCCGGCTGCGGTCTACCTCCAATAGCACCGAGGAGTGATCTGAGGCAGTCCAGCACTACACCTCTCTCTCTCTCTCTCACACACACACACACACACTAGATCCACGCCTTCAGGAGAAGTGAAGGCCAGCCAATGTCTGTTACACCTCTCCCATGTATTGGCCCTGAGCTAAATATACAGGAGGCAGCCGGTCAGCTGCCCTCTGTAACCAATATTAGCCTGTTACTACTGCCAGCGCTGCCTTTGTTTCCCCTGCCTCAAATGGACAGGGAAAACAAAACAGAATGGATAGAAATGACATTGAAATGACAAGGTGTCATGCCAGAGGCATTGTTGAACTACCGCCATTCATTTATTGATAACACCATCCTGCAAATTTTGCTGAATGAAATCCAAAACTTGTTTCTTACTTATTTAGGGAGCTGATTCCAAAATAGTGCCTATTTTGCTTTAGCATGTTACACTTTCTCAACAAAATTTGGTATGCATTTTGTAGCATTTTTTTGCTTTTGAGAATTATTGCAAGGTGAAGAAGTTGTTTTATCCCTTAATTCCTTTGAGAAGTTTTTTTTCATATCTTCCTCTGAGCCAGGTTAGAACTGTTTGTTAAATTCTCTCTCATATATGAATGATTCTGAACATTTTATTTAATGACTAATCGTTTTCAATGTTAGAATTATCGCCAGTGACAGAAAATGCAAAACATAACCCAGCTGTTTTCTGCTATATCTGTGGGTGTTTTACTACAATTGTTATTTTTGCAGCATTGAGATACTATTATAGTTTGTATTATTATTTTGAATCATTTTTTATTTTCATATTTTCCATTTTAATTTTAAAGTTGTTGTCATTTTGTTGCGTTTTGACATTTTTGTAGTTTTTTTATACATCTATATAGTTTTTATTCATTTTTATTTCAGTTTTAGTTAGTTATTTTAGTACATCAAGTTACACTCAATTCAAATGTGAAATGTTGCTTTGGCAACTAGCTGAAATAAAGCATTTCTTATATTTTAAGTAATTTTTTAATGGTTTTATTTGAGATATACATCCACACAGCAACAGGAAATTGCTTTTTGAAAAAATGCTTATTTCTAAACTTGTGTGTATATTAACATATTTTTCCAATCCTCAGATCGTAAGCAGGATTATTACAGTATTTAAATAAAGTACTTGATGTACTAAAATAACTAAAACTAAAATAAAAAATTATTTAAAAAACGATATAAACATATATAGAAATATCCAAAAATGTATATAGACACACAACAAAATATTTTTTTTTTTACTAAAATTAAAATGAAAAATATATAAATGAAAACTGATTTAAAATATTAATGAAAACTACTTTATAATAGCATCTCAGTGATACTAAAATAATAAACGATAAGTTAAAAGGTCATGAAACCCTAAACTAAATTGCCTGAGATTAACAGATTTATGTGTGTTGACCCTTTAAATATGCATTTTTGTTATTAAAACAGCTTTTGTTTTATAAGTGCATTAAAGCTGTAATGGGAAGTTTTTTGCAAATCAGCTCAAATTAATTTTCAAGATGCAGTAATCTCAGTTTATATAGAATGACATAAAATCTAATTTGCTGAAGGCAAAACTACACTCTGGTGTTTATCAAATTTGTATGGATCAAAATTGGTGTGAGCATCTACAATGTCCGACTTAAATCTGAGACGGTCTGCCACTGGCATGTGATGTACACGCATGCATAAAATGACAGAATTAGCCTGCATGCTCTGTAGTGGAATATCACAGATGTTTTCCAGCACCGCTCATCTAACTCACCCTCCCTCTCTGTGTCCTGTTTTTTCAGGACTTATCGCCAACCACTACTCACAATTTATTGGCGCCTTTCTTTCCCTTAGAATTAATGACAGAGCAATTATGAAGAGGGCCGTTTAAAAGCCTGATGGGAGATGCAGTCTGTAAACGTCTCCAGTCAGACAGAGTGCAGAACAAAGACGACAGACAGGAAGGGAGACAGAGAGAAAGACAAGCAGAGATGTGCGTTTATGTTTCACGTTTTAATTTCCCACCACTTCTGCTAGAAACTACATTTTTCAAAGAACATCAAATTACATTAATTGTTTCTTATCAAGTTGTGATTAGAAAAATATTTTTAAATCAACTATAATTCTTTATACAGTAACAATGTACAGCAAGTAAGGTCATTTTTGTTTGTGCATAATAATCTTAAAAATTATAAGGCTTTTATAGTGTGGCTGCTTTTCGTAGCTCTTCATTCTCACCTTTTCAAACGTTTTCAGATTTGGCTGTGCAAATGGTTCTTTTAGTAATTCTTTTATATGCTGTAAAACTGTTGGGAACATTTCCACACCTGGAAATGTGAAGACGGTGCGATCTGCCGAGGCCAAGAAGGAGAAGCTCTCGTGCTCTGTGATAAAGCAGCACAGTAATGATACTGTATGAAAGAGCAGAAGATGAGGTCAGAAGACCTCAATTACCCAGAGACAGAGATGAGCTTAAACAGAAGCCCACCGGAAAAGTGCACACAACAATGACCTGAGATTAGGTGAGGGGAGGTTAAAGTACAAATGTAAATGTCCAGTGGGAATGAAAATGTATCAGATATACATAGTCTGAACTGCCAAATAATTTGTTATTAGACAATGTAAGCGTTTTCTCTTTAAAGGGGTCATAGGATGCTACATGCACTTTTACAAGTTGTTTGAACTGAAATGTGTGTTGGCAGTGTGTGTACACAACCACCCTATAATGATAAAAATCCACTCAGTGTTTTTTTTAAAAATCTGGTTAAATGTTTTCCCCTTTCTCAAATCGAGCCGATCT